CCGCCTCGGGAGAGCTGCCGCGCGTAGGAACCGCTGGCTATTAAGACCAACTGCCAACTGCCGCTTCCCTGCCTGACCAAGGGGCGGGCCGGTAGGCGGAGGGAGGGGCTCAGCTGAGGAAGGCTCTGGGGCAGGGGCTGTCCTGGCAGTGAGCGCGCGGATTGGCTCCTGTGGTCTGGGGGCGGGGCTGCTCCTCAGGTTGGAGACAGGATACATGAACTGGTGTCCAAACAATTTGTATTGTTTTTTCTATTAGGAATATTTTGCTGTGAACATTTGTAAACCAGTTTTTTGGGGATCTGTTTTATTTCTCACAGCTGCATACCTGAGACTGTCATGGCTGGGTTATAAGGAATCTATGGTTGGCGTTTTTAGAAACTCCACACTGCTTCCAAAGTGGCTGCACCGTTTTACATATTTCCACTAGCAGACTATGAGGGTTCCAATTTATCTCTACATTATAGCCAACACCTGTCATCGTCTGTCTTTTTGATGATAGTCATCCTCATGGTTCTGAAGTGGCATCTCCTTGTGGTTTTGGATTGCACTTCCCTAATACTGAGCTTCTTTCATATGCTTCTTGGCCATCTGTATATCTTCTTTGGAGAAATATGTATTAGCAATTATATATTCTAGATAAAAGGCCCTTTTCAGAAATATGATATGAAAAAAATAGTCTCTCATTCTGTGGATTGTCCATTACTTTCTCGAGAATGTCCTGCCCCGGGGCCTGGCATTAGCGCTTCCCTCTGCCTTGAATCTTCCCTGGACACATACTTGGTGGTCTCCCTCCTTCCTTCAGGTCTTGGCTCAAATGCCTGCTTGTCAGTAAGATCTCCCAGGATCCCTTGTAGTGATCACCCAGTAAGAACAATGATGACAGCCCCATACATCACCGTCCGTCCCACCTCCCTGCCTCATTTCCCTTCAAGCTTTTATTACCATGTCCATGTAAAGTAGTCTTTTGTGAATTGTCTAATTCTTAACTGAATTGGAAATTTCATAAAGGATTTTTTTAATCAGTTTGTTACTACTTTATCCCAAATGTAATTCACTTTAGGTAATCCAGTATGAATGCAAATGAAAGAATGAATGAATTGCATGAGAAACAGTAATATATTTCACTTTATTTTATTAAACCTATGGCTTTTTCCAAATCTGCATGTGAATGTATATGCCACCATAGTTCAGTCATTCTTTAGTCAGATGATATAAAACTAATTTCTTCATTTTTCTTGGAAAGTAACCTTTGGCTTTGGAAGATTTAATAGAAAGTAATAGAGGAAAAGCTAAAATAAATAAATAACTACTTAATAAAGACTTAAATGTGGCTACCAGTGGTGCAACTTGAGCTAATTGAAGCTTGAGGATGGGTAGTTCCTGGGAAGGGTCATCATCTGCCACTGTGTCTCCCCTCTGAGTGTGAGGAAGTTTCCATGTGCATGGATGCATGTGTGACCAGTCTGGAAGGTCACAGGTCTGGAAGGCTTGTCAGTACCAGCTTCTGCTCTTTCTTGGCCTGGCCTTGTGTACATTGACAATCAGATTCAGTCCTTGGGAATTTTCTGGGAGTGTTTGTATTTCCCTGGGACACAACTAAATAATTACAGCCTAATGTGGTAAGTGCTAGGCTAGAGTTCTATGGAAAGAACAGGATAGTTGCTGTAGAGGCCACAATTTCTTGATCTTGTGGGACCTGGGGTAATCTTCATGGTGAGGCAATATTTGGGGTTGTTCTTATAAAATGTATTTGGGGTGAGGAGTTCTGAGTAGGAGGAAGGTAATATATAGGGGAATTGTAATGGGATTTGGGTAGGGGTTG